GAGAGAGAGGGAGAGAGAGGGAGAGAGAGAGGGAGAGGGAGAGAGAGAGGGAGAGGGAGAGTATCACATTGATTTTAGAGAGAAAATATGCCCAAGATCATCTTACCCTAAAAACAGTGATTTTTTCCACTGTTTTTACGGCGATTTCTCCTGGGTGCCTTTGCCTCCCGTAGCCGCCCCTGCAGATGTTCTTGTGGTCACATCTGGACAGGTGGGTGCTTCTGGATTGTAGGGTCTGGACCCAGGGGTGGTGTCGGTGCTCAGAACAGCCCCCCAGGGTCACCCCGCCTCTCCTGTTAGTAGTAAGGTTGAGAAACCTAGATTTACGCCCTACGGAGACCAATCTCCACCTGCTCATCCTAGCGATGATGCTACTGAGACATCTTCTTGGTCCTCACTCTGCGGAGGGGGACAGATGGGGCGTACTAGAACCCCTCCACGCAGGGACAGGTCAGGACCCGGCCAGCACTCGTCCCGGGCTGCTTTGCTGTGTCCTGCTTCGGTGCCTGGGCCAAGCCGCTGATCTGTCCTTTTCCGGGGCCTGGCTCCTTTGGTCCCCCTTAGCGTTGGCACAGCCAGGAAACAAAGGCTGGTGAGGAGACACGCCCCAGACCCTGCCGTGAGGGGAGGACCCCACCTTGCAGTGGAAGGAGGCCTAGGTCGGACCCCTCCTCACCCCCGGGATGCAGTGTGTGCGTGAGGTCACCAAGGTCCTTAGTGTCTACTGAGGCTTGGGGTCCTTGAGACCCCACCCCAGCTTAGAGCTCCTCTGGCTCACATCAAAGCTGGTCTCCTAAAGGTGGCTGTGGAGGTGCAGGCTGCTGGCTGGAAGCACACTGGTGATTGGGTCGCACACACAGAAGAGAGCAGGGGAGGCCTGAAGGGGCCTCAGTGCAGCCCACTGCCCCGTGCTGGCTCTGCCTGGCCCCACGGGGTGCAGATGCCTGAGGGCAGTGTGCATGCCAAGGTACACAAGAGCCTGAGGCCTGGGGAGGCGCGTACAGCTGGACAAACAGCTTGGGGCCTTGGGCCAGCTTCCTGCAGGACCAGCTGCCCTCACAGGGTTTGGGCGAGGGTTGGGGACAGCGGCATGATGTGTCCCCGCAAGCATCCCTGCCTGTGCCCAGCTGAGCAGCCTGGCCCGGCCGAGTTCAAAGCCCTGCTGCAGCTTTGCTGCATGTTGGTTCCAGCAGTCCGGGCAGATGCGGACACGCATGCCAGCCTGGCTGTGCCACATCTGCACCTGCCACACTGACGCCAGGCACGGGGTCTGCATGGCACCTGGCGGCTGGCCCTGTCCCCACCCTGAGCCATGTGCCTTGAGTTCTCATTGCTGTTTATTGAAATTTCCTACCCAGGAGAGGGGTTGAGGGCAACAAGGGGACGCTGTCTGCCAGGGCTGAGCCGGGGCCTCGGGGAGAGACTGGGCCGGGGCAGCAGGGCCGGGGCGGGCAGGCAGCTGGGCTGGCTGTGGTGAGGCACCAGAGGAGGAGGTGGGTGCTTTGACTGCACCCACAGGAGGCTATGTGGGGGGCACGAACCCACCCAGGCCCCGCCCAGGGGCCGAGGCAGGCGGGGCCACGAGGCTTGCTGTAGGGCAGGAGGGCCCTATGTTCAGCTGGGGCCCAGGCCTGGGCTGCTTGATTTTAAAGGTATCTTCTGGGCCTCCTTTTCTGCCTCCAGCTCCAGCTTGGTATCCTTCGCTGGCTTGTACCTGGAACAGAAGCAGGCACAGCCCTGAGCCCTCCCTGCTGCCTGGAGCCCTGGCAGGCAGAGGTGGGAAGCTCACCACTGCTGCAAATCCTCAATGTTCTCTGGCAAAGGGCGGTTGAGGGTCTCAGGCAGGAAGAAGGCAGCGCTGCCCCCCAGGAGGGCCATGGTCCCGTAGATGATGTTGGGGATGAAGGGCTGCACCTCGCCCGTGATCTTCACCAGTGGGGCGATCATGCTGCCCACACGGGTCCACATGTTGCTGATGCCCATGCCTGTCTGCCTGGGAAGGGGTGTGGAGCTGGGCTTGTCAGCCCAAGAGTCCCTGGGCCCATGGGCAGGGGCAGGAGGATGCCCGGCCCCGTCTGGCCCAGGGTCCTTTGGGCCCAGGCCGCACACCTACCGGATGACTGTCGGGTAGAGCTCACTCGTGTAGAGGAAGATGCAGCTGAAGGAGCCTGACAGGCATCCCTTTCCAAACACAGCCAGTGATGTCTTCAGGATGTGCATGTCTGCAGGCAAGGATGTGTCAGGGGCCACAAAGTTCAGGAGCACCCGCCTATCCTCTTTCCTTAGCAGACCCCGTTTCCCTTTCTGCCCCCGCTGCCAGGAAGCTCAGATCCAAACCGAAGGGTAACACCCTTATTGCTACTCCTGATGCTTTGCATGTTGAGTGTGACTGTGTTTGTTTTCCCTGGGTCTGATTCTCTATTCCTACTTATATTTCGTTATACGTGTCCTTGCCCTAGAAGACCTCAGATTCCTTTGGAAGGGTAGAGGCATATCAACAGACATTCATCTAAAATAAAAGCGGCTTTTCTCACTTGGGTAAAGTGGGCTATGGGATCTCTCCTGAGCCCTGACTCTGCCGCCCCTGCATCTCAGCTCATCCTTCACAGTCGTTCCCAGGATGTGTCCAATCAAAAGTGACTCCTCCCACCCGCGGGCCCCACCCTGCTCTGCCCAGGCCACACTGGATGTGGAAAGCATCTGCAGGTCATCCTCCCACGTGGATCGTTCTCTGGAAGAAAGACGACGCCCACGCAGCCTGGCACAGGTGCGCAGGGCCTCAGAGCTGCAGCTCCTGCAGCTGCTCACCCTCGGGCGTGAAGATGAGACCCAGGATGGCGCCTCCGGCCAGGATCAGCACAGAGGCCAAGGTGACATGCCTGCCCAGGTAGCTTAAGGCGAGGATGGTGATGAGCTTGGCGGGGATGTCAACCCCCCCGAAGATGACCTGGAGGATGTAGATGTCCACCCCAAACTCTTCCACGCCCATGGCCAAGCTGTAGTAGGCGAAGCCAGTGGAAAACCTGATGGGTAGAGGGCAGGGTTGGCTCTGTGGCCTGGCTGGAGCCTTTGGGCACCAGAGTGCTGAACAGTTCCTTTCTTGAGGTGCTGCCTGCCTGCGCCTGTGGGTTTCTGAGAAAGGGCTGACATGGGCGTCAGAGCAGAGCAGCCCACAGCCAGCCCTCAAGGGTGACTGACAGGGGTGCTCTCCGAGAGCCCAAGGCAGGACATGTCCTGTGTGGGCGGGTGGCGCGTCAGCTGTCCCTCCTTCCTCTCTGGGCCTGGGAGTCCCTCTGCCGGGGCTGGGAGGGCGGTAGTCACCATGCCAGTGAGAGACAGAGAGTCACGCGCCGCAGGATGGGCACTCGGAACAGGTCCAGGATGCCGTACTTGAGTTTGGCCAAGGCGATGTCCTTCTGCAGGCTGAACTTCAGATCCTTGGACAGTGGGGGAGGAGGGGTGGTCAGAGCGACTGGGGGCCCCGAGACGGGGGGCTAGTCCCCTCCACCCTACCTCCATGCTGAGCTTCTCCCCTTCTTCCTTCTTGCCATTGAAGGCGGCCACACGCTGCAGAGTCTGCAGAGCCTTCGTGAACTTTCCAGATAGTACCATCCAGCGGATGGACTCAGGGATCCACCTGTGGACAGTTGGGGTGCTTCAGCTCCTTCTCTTTGAGTCCCCAGAGAGGCTGGCAGGGCTGAGGGTTGGGGCCGAGAAGCCAGGGTCCCTGGACGCATGGACTTGGGGTCCAGGCTGGGCCCACTTTGCCCTGGGCTGCAGTGCTAGCACCCTCTTTTGCTCCAGAGGGGCTGTCCCTCTGTACCACCCCGGGCCATTGTCACTGTCATCCTCTGGGGCTGGGCAGTATACTCACAACTCCTGCACACTCACCCCACCTGCTGTGGCCTCAGCCCCTGTGTCTCTGGGGAAGCGAGACTGTGCCTGGGGAGTGGGCTAGGGTCCCCTGATCGTCTCTGCCCAGGACTAGCCCATGGGCATGCACGTGTGTGCATGGGGTCTCGGGACTGGGTATGTGCACCACACCCCTCTCCTGAGCAGGTGGAGGCCAGGTTGGGGAGAAGGCACTGTGGTCCCCGCAGGCACCTGGGCCTGGCTCTGGGAGGCCTCGGGGCAAGGATGTTGGTGACCTGGCCTCAGGCCGCTGTCCACTCACGGCAGTGCTCCCTGGGCGCTGAGACCCACCTTGTGCTGTGCAGTTCTGTCTCCTCCCAAACTCCCTGAAAGGGCCAGACCACGTCACCCCACTCCCCAGAGTGCACATGTGACTCGGAGTGGGTGGTAGGGTCAGCCACCTCCGACTGTTGCTCCCTCTGCCCGCCCCAGGCCATGACCAGCCTGGGGGCCCCTGACCGTGCCCCCAGCAGCTTCCGCCTTCAGTCATGGAGAACGGCTTCTCCCGAGCCTCGGGAACTGGGACCTGACCTGCTCGGTGGGTGGGGATGATGGTGCCTCCATCCGCACCTAAGCCGGAAGCCAGAGCCCAGGCAGGCTGATCTCCAGGGGACTCGGTAGAAGTCACCCGACACTCCTGGGTGCATCTCCTTGGGGACTCTGGCTCTAGCACCCAGGGAGGCTCGCTTCCTCCTTTGGTGTGGCTTGGGGTCTGTTGTTGACGGTGAGCTCTGCCTGTGCTGAGGCTCCTGTTGCCCTCCCTGCCCCCACAATCCGTAGATCCCTCCTGCAGCGTGGCTTCCTGACCCCCATCTTCCTCCTGCAATCTCCTCCCCTCTGCACTGGTCCTGACCCAGGGCTACCCTTCCGCACCACAACCGGACTCTGCTCCAGCTCCTGGTGCCAAGCTGGGGCCGCCCGGCCTTCTGTGCTCTCCACCCACCCTGGCCACCCTCCTTCAGCCTGGCACCTATGGGCCACCCCTCCAACAGGAGTCCCTGCCTGGGGACGGGCAGGATGGGGTGGCCCTGTGGCCTCAGGGAGGAGGGGAAATGGCCACATACCAGGACAGCAGGGAGAAGATGAAGAAGGGCACGGATACAGTCAGCTGCAGCCAGCGCCACTGGGGAATGGCATAGGCCAGGCCAGACAAGAGGAACTGGCCGCAGGTGTAGAAGTAGCCGATGGCTGTGGACGAGATGGCCCGAATCCGGGTAGGCATCCATTCCACATCTGCGGGTGGAGCCCGTGCTGTCAGGGCCATGCTGTGGCCACATTGTGCCCCCCGAAGCCCAGCCTCCCCAGAGCTCAGCGAGGCTCAGGAGGAGCTGGATGTCTGCTTCCTAGTTCCTGCCCTGACTACTCTCCCTCTGGTGGCAACAGACTTTCCTCACGGGCACACTAGACGCAAGTCTGTTCCTAATGGAACTCCAGTCCTGGGGAGTCCTCAGGATTCATAGCTGCTTTTTTTTGAGGCACTGGGGTGGTCGAACCCAGAGGTCTCCATCTCTGAGCCACATCCCCAGTCTATTTTATTTTTTATTTTCCGACAGTATCTTGCTAAGTTACCCAGGCTGGGTTGGAACTTTCGATCCTCTTGCTTCAGCCTCCTGAGTAGCTGGGGTTGCAGGCGCATACCACCGAGCCTGGCCACAGCTGCTGTTATGCTTGTGGCAACCGTTATGCTCTCAGGACTTCTGGGGTCCTGACAGGGGCAGCCCTTCTGCCAAGATCCTGGGCAGCCTTTGGGAGAGCAGGCTGGGGCTGCTCCTGGCCTCTGGTGGGCTCCCCAGGCCCTGTGCCTCGCCCAGGCTCACTCAGGATGACGGTGCTCAGGGAGATGCCGGAGATGCTCATGCCGCACAGGAAGCGGAAGACCATGTAGACTGGGAGGCTGGGGCTGAAGGCTGCACTCGAGCCGCTGGTGGCCAGCAGGAGGTAGCTGAGGGTCAAAATGGGCTTGCGGCCAAACCTGTGTCAAGGGAGCCAGGCTGTCAGCCACGCCTGCCAAGACCAGTGACTCTGCAGGTTCGGGAAGGCTGCCCCCCTGCCTCTGCCTGCCACCTGAGGACAAGGGCCGGCCTGTTGCTAGCCCTGTAGACAGAGCATGGCTGGCAATTGCTATTTTTCAACAAGTCTGCAGTTAGCACTAGGTTAATGAATGACCTCTTCCGGCCCCAGCTCAGCTGACCATGGTGTAGGGGTCAAAGGAGCAGCCGTGTGCCCTTCTTCACCCCACATGGCCGTGTCCAGGAACGCGGAGACCCCAGGTCTGCAGGGCCTGGAAGCCTCAGCTGTGAGGGCTGTGGTGGATGGAAGCCTGAACGGGTAGACCTACCCACACGCCCAGCAAGGCCTGGCCCAAGCTCACCTGTCAGACAGCTCCCCCAGCACCAGGCCTCCGATCAGGATGCCTGCCATGAAGACCGACTGCGCCATCTCCTTCATCTTGGCAGAGTCGCACACCAGGTCCCACTGCACAGGTCGAGATGGCTCCAGTCAGCACCCGCCCTACCCGGCTGGCTCTCCTCCGCCTGGCCTGGATGCCGTGACCTGATCCTTGCTGTGCGATGCAGCGCTTCTTGGGCCTGTGTGTGGCCTCCAGGCCCCTCTGTCTGCTTGGCCCTCCACACCATCCGTGCACCCGGACCTCCCTACTCCTCTCTTCCCTACAGCTTGACCCTGCCCCTCCTCCAGGACATCAGTGAGGCCGCCTGCCACCACCCGCCCTCACTGCACTGCGCAGTCTGTCCCCAGGTGCATGCTGCCAAGCTCACCGGGCCCCACGAGGTCCTGCTGCTCATGCACTGAGGACCTCCGTGTCCTGCCCTGGCTTGTCCTTGGTGCTGTGGACCTCACTGTCCTCTCCGCCTGATGTCCCAGCTCTTCGCCCTGCCCTCTCCTCTCTGTCCAGCCCCTACTGCCCCCCAGGGCCCCTGGGTTCCCTCTCTGGCCTCCTGTCCCTGTGGTGCCAATGACTGCTGATGCCCAAGATGCAGCCCTGTTTCTCCAGCCACCTGACTCCACCGCTTCTTGAAAACCCACTTGGGTGGCATCATGCATGTGGACGCACCCAGCAGGATATGTCAGCTGTCTTTGCAGCTCCCAAGTGCAGTGACTGGCACCCTCTCTTTTTAAATAAATATTTAAAGATGGGCCGGGGACTTAGCTCAGTGGTGCCGCTGCCTGCCTTGCAAGTGCAAGGTTCCAAGTTCGATCCCGGGTACCAATATATATATATATTTAAAGATGTGTCATGTTTGTAATAGAAGAACCCTAATAGCAGACATTTGTGGGGTACAATGCGAGGTTTTAATGCTGACCCCCCATGGGACACATGTGAAGTTCGTCCTCTTGGTTGTTTTGAAGGCCAGTGGACTCTGTGTGTCCATTGTGTGATGGATCCCAAACTTAGCCATCCTGAGGGTCCCTGGGACCAGTCACCCCCACTGCCTCTGAAAACCATGGTTTTTGAAAGATTTAACTCTGATGAGTTTCACACAGGAGCGAGGTCATCCTGGTCACCCTTCCGACTCCTGCCTCTCCTGCCCCACAATCTCTTGACCCCCTCTAACTCTTGTACATTTCCCTGCTCTGGGTCCTTCCATTCCAAGCAGCTGCCTGAGTGTGGGCCCAGCCCTTTTGCCCTGGATTAACAGTGATGACTGGTCCTGTCTGAGGGCTTATGAGGCACTGGGCATATTCCAAATACACCATCTCTGTGATTAACTTCCTGAATCAGCAAGTTTATTACGTAGCACCTTACAAATGGGGAATCTGAGGCCCAAAGTCTCGCTGTGATGACCTTCTGAGGGCCATGGGGCTCCATCCTCTCCCTGATGATCTGAGCAATGGTGTTCCACACCGCTGGCCCCAAGCAGGCATCTCTCCAAGAGACTGTCTGGCTGGCTCTGCCCTGTGGGCTGGCAGTGCTCTTGGGCCTCCTGGCTGGCCCTGTGGGCTCTACCTGTCAGGCCTACTCTCCTGCTAATCTTCACACAGCCCTTTGCTCCAGCCACCCTGATTATGTGTGTAAAATGAAGTAGGGAATGGTGTCCACCAGAAATGCCTCCCAGGAATGTGCTGCAGGCAAGACAGCATGGGAGCCACAGCTTCCGGGATGAAGACTTGTTCCTCGTCTCCTCTGACACAGGTTGGGGGGCAGTGTGGGCAAAGATGCCAGTGCCTCCCGCTGTCTCCAAGCGGCCAGGCCTGGTGGTCCCTTCTGGTCCCTTCTGGATGGGAAGGGGCTGAGTGCTGTGCATGTGTGGGGTGGGGACAGGACGGGATGGGAAGAAGGAGGAAGCAAGGGTGTGTGAGGAGGACAGAGGCCCCTGGGGCTCTCTGGAGAATCGAGAGGAAAGACCCAGTGTCCATGAAACTCACTTGACCCTCCATGCACCCTGAATGGAGGCCATGTGGCTCCTGATAATGGGACTGAGTGGAAGACAGACAGCCACCTCTGCACTGGGCGCTGCCTCCTTCTCACTGTGGGTGGTGACAAATGGAATAACTCTGGAACTCCAGTGTGGAGGACCCAGAGGTGCGGTCACCATGTGTCCCTGATGCCCCAGGAAGCTGAAATGCTTCTCACTGTGGAACTCTGATAAGCTGTGGATTACTGTTGTCTGTTTTAGGGTAGCAACATAGCCTATCCTGATACATCCCACAGGTAGATTTGCATTTCAATCTCTATGATACTTAGAGCCTTAGTGATTTGTGCACACCCATGTTTATAGCAGCACAACACACTACAGCTAAATCCTCGAAGCTGTCTGTGTGCCCACCAACAGATGAGTGGATAAAGAGAATGTGTATTTACACACAGTGGAGCACTACTCTGCCATACAGAAGGATAATCTTGAGTCATTTGTAGGAAAATGATGGATCTTAAGGCCATAATACTCAGTGAAATCAATGATTTTTCTAAATTGAGAAGCCCAAAATACAAATGACTTAAGGAGCAAAATGAAAGCCAGATGGCAGGAAACAGGAGTAGGCTCTGTGGAAATGGGGAAGGGTCGAAGGAGGCGAGGAGGAAGGGCAGAGGGAGGGGAGTGTGCTCTGGATCCCATGACCAATGTGCTCAGCAGGCCTCACAAACACATGCCAATCTACCAGCGTGAGGCCTGCTGGGATCAGTTCAAGGCTGCTGCCTGCCTTGTCTGAGACCAGATCTGCCTGGGCTTGGTGTCCACTAAGGGACTTGGGATGACGCAGACTTTAGAATAACTGTCTCAGCTGGTTTCCACCAGAACATTGAGCAATATACAAGAAGTGTCATTCCTGGAGTGAACTTTGAGTCTCTTTTACAATGCGCGTAAATCCTTAAAGCTCTCCAGCCCTAGAGCCTGCTCTGCTTCTACCCTTCTTGTCTCTGCAGCCCCTGCACGCCCCACTTGAGTTTCATTATCCCCTGGCTGCCCCCACACATTGGGCACGTGTCCTGTTCTGCAGGCATGGCACTGGCTGCTCTGTGTCTGGAAGGTCCTGCACCATGTGGGCCAGCACCTCTGCTTCCTTCAGATCTCACTCAATGCCATCTTCCCAGTGAGGCCTTCCTGACCACCCTGTTAAAAATTATAACCCCGGTGTCTGTTTCTCTTTCCCCTGCTCCATTTTCTCTATAGTTCTTGCACCATCAGATGGCTGCTCAGTTTTCCATTCTTGTGGATTGTTGTATTTTTCTCCCCAGAACATCAGCAGGATGAGGGTTAGACTTTGAGTCTGTTTTGCTTACTGCTGTGTTTTCATGGCCTGGAGTAGTGCCTCACACATGGTGGCTGCTCGAGGAATACTTGTGGAATTGATGAATGAGTGAATATTCGCAGGGTAGACAGCAGCGGCGAGCCATGGAGGCTGGAGATGTGTGACGTCTACGCGAGAGGCCACCTTGTCTATACTCCAGCTGCCTTGAGAACCGCCTCACAATGAGTGCATGTCAGCAAAGACTGTCTAGCACTGAGTTCACCACTGCACAGTCAGGAGAGTTCTTCCTTTGTGATAACACAGGAAAAGTTCTACAGCAGGTTGTCCTCCGGAGTACAATCGTCCTTCAGTGAGGTCCTGAAGCTCAGACGGGGTTGTGTTTGTGATTAAATATCTAAAGAATTGGACGTGAATGTACTGTCAGTTTCTCCCAGAAGCTTGACAGTTCACCAGAACTGTCGAGGCACTGTGGCTGTGGCTGCCTCTCTCCACACCAGGGCCTCTTGTCTGAGTTTAACCGTGTTCCCCAAGAAACATCTGGAGTTCTCACCCGCAGTGCCTCAGGGTGTGATCTCACTTGGAGTAGGGTCGGTGCACATGTAGTTCGTGAGTGAAAGTGAGGCCGCACCCGAGCGGCGTGGATCCCTAACCCCCCGTGACTGGTGTCCCATGAGAGGCGACACATGCAGGGGCAGTGCCGTGTGGTGAGGGAAGCAGATCCCAGGGCAGTGGGCGTGCGAAGCCGGAACGACGTTGGAAGAGGCATGACTGGGTGGTCCCAGAGCAGAGAGCACACCGGCGCTGTGATTCTGGGCTTCCGGCCCGCAGTTCCAGCTGACCACAGTCTCCATCACTCCAGGCCACCCGGTTTGCGGTGCTTTCCTTTGGCAGCAACAAGAACTCCTGGCGCTGCGGTTCCTGGGTGTCCGCTGGCCCGACAGGTAGTGATGGAGCAGAGGAGCTTTGCAGTGAGGGGACCAGGTGCAGAGAAAAGGTGAGAGATCTTTATCCTGGAGATGCTTAAAGAGATTTTCCCATGCTTTCTGTGTGGTTAGCTATGCAAAGGCCCAAGAAGAGCCTGTCACGAAAACCCACAGCAGAAGGCAGTTATTACGCCAGGCACGCGGTGGGGCTTGTTTCCTTGGGCTCGCCCTCCATGTTCAGCATCCTGTGCTCACCTCCAGAAGGCAGAGCTTGCATGGCATCCTAGCTGCTTATTGACTTCTCTCCCCTGTATTCCATGACCTTGTGGAAGGCAGAGCACATGTAATTTTTATCCCTGGCAGCTACCAGAGTAGCTGGTAATAGTGAGTGTTAATGTTTGTTTGATGATGAAGAATCAATGAGTAAACAGGGCCAGGTTAATGTGCCCATTTCAGTGATGAGGCCTGAGGGGGAAAGGCAACTTGCTGGTTGGGGGATCAGCGTTAGCTTCCTGGTGCTCCTGTCTGGCCCTTGGCATGGCCTTGACTCATTTTTCCTATTAACTGTTGGCAATTCCACCTGGCGTTCTTGTTCCCAAAGCCTTTGACTGGCATTCTTGGACTTTCTGTTTCCTTCCTTGGAGTGCAATGGAGCCCCAAGGGAGCTGGGCTAGGAAGGGAAGGATGAGGAGCTTCCTTCTACATCTTGCTGAATGGCTAATGGACCAGGCAGACAGCAAGGGAGAAAGAAGTCTCTGTGAGCAGTGCGATGATGACATGATGAAGTCGGTGCCTAGTTTCACAGAAAGCCCCAGGCTCAGAGGGGAGGGCATGTGTCTGAGCACCCAGGTCTGCTGGTTCTCAGTGGAGTCCTTGACCTGGACCACCACTTCCCTTGCCCCATGGGCAGCCACAGAAAGCTGCTGTGCAGAGCTGTGTCCTGAGCACCATGGGACAGGTTGGCCCAGGAGGACTCAAGCAGAGGAGGGTGAGGCCAGAGTCAGGGACAGGTGGGAGGAGACAAGAGGCTCAGAAGCCAAGCAGCAGGAAGCAGGCCTGGAGGCCCGGAAGGCTGGGGCAGAAGAGGAAAGGCAGAGCACGGCCACTGTGGGTGGGAATGTGTGCCCTTCCTGGGTTGGGCCTTGGCAGCCAGCCCCATGCTCGGGGGTTGCTGCTGCATCCTTGGGTCTTCAAGGGAGCCTGTTCTGGGCACAGGGCCAGGAGTACCTGCTGGGGGTCCTGGGCGCCAGAGCCCTGCCCCTGGAGCTGTGTTTTCCTGAGCCAGGCAGGTGCCTCTCTGAGCCCGTCTCCTCACCTGGACCTGCAGGCGCATGGTACCTGTCTCTTGGAATTGCAGACAATGGTTGGACAGCAGTGGCACTCTGGCCACGGGGGCCATTTCATCATCATTGTCCCATTGTCGAAGGCCCCTGAGCGAGCACCATGCTTAGGAGAGTAGCTTTTGTAAAGCGAGGCCGTGAGATTGGCTGCTAGGAAGGCAGTGAGCGTGGCCCCTGGTCCTTCCCGGGAGTCAGGCTAGAGGGTGAAGGGGCAAGGCCTGAGTTGCTGGCTTGGGGTGGAGGGATGAGAGGAGGTGGCAGAAACGCCACAGGGTGGGATGGCTCTGCTCCAGCAGCCACTAGGTCCTCCAGGGACATGTGTGTACGTGTTTGCTCATGTGTGCACGCACATGAGTGCACATATGTGTATGTGCCTGTGCCTGAGTGTGCTAGTGTGTGTGTCCATGTGCGCACACGTGCATGCATGTGGGGGCATGCATACATGTATACACTTGTGCAGTCCAGCCGTGTGCATTTGTGCAACACACAGGTGCGCATGTGTGTGTGCACAGAGTGTGGAAGTGCATGGGTTCATGCATGCATGGGTGTGCAGTCCAGGTACGTGCACGTGTGTGTGTGTGTGCACATGTGAGTGTGTGGCCTTCTGGTGGTCCAAGAAGAGTCTAGAGGATGGAGGTTCAGGCTCCCGGGGCACAGCACCCAGGCTGCCCTGCCCTGCAGACTTGGAAGAAAGGCCTTTGTTTCTTTCCTCTTAATGTCCTAGCAAAGCTCCTCCAGCAAATCCTGACCTGGCTTCTGTGCCATGAGAAAGGAATGTGTGGTTTCCCTGCCAGGAGGCTGAGGGTGTTGGAGGGAGGGGACACCTCTGTCCCAGTGCAGACCCCGTGTCGGGTTCATCTTCACCTGCTGATTCTTCTTGGTCTGCTCGGCTATTGAGCATGGCCGACCCTCCAGTTTCCTTGGGTCCAAGTGCTACTGTTATCTCCCTTGATCCTCACATCCACTCTCTTAGCTCGTTTTTTTGACAAGGAAACCCAGGCTTCTGGGTTCCACGATGTTCCCATAACCAGCAGGGTCAGGAATGGCTCAGGCCGTCCGACTCCTGCTCACCACCGGCTTCTTCCACTCTCTGGTCCTGTACAGGGCGTGAACATTGCCAGACACCACTTTCCTCTCTACTCATCCCTTGTCCCCTCTCTCCCCACCAGAGCTGATGCCTGCAGTCCCTGCTCTGAGCCAGAGCCCCTAGGGAGGCCCAGCTGCTCCACCCTCGGTCCTCGGGCCTGGCACTGCTGTTCCTTGAGACATGGAGTAGAGAAGGGCGTGGCACCCTGGGCCTGGGGTGCAGATTCACAGGCCTGATGCTGCCTCAGACTGGAGTGTGGCTGACACCGGGACAGACGCTTGGCTGCCCGCAGGGCCTGCACCGAGGCTTGTGGGGACCTGGGAGCCCAGCTGCTCCCCATGGCCACCCACTGGCCTGCCATGTCTGTGCCCTGTGTAGGCCGGGGAGCCTGCAGACCCCAGGGGTGAGGGAGGGAATCTTCACTCAGCACTGACCTGGCTTAAGCCAGGGGCTCCTGGGTCACAGAGGAGGGGGAGACACCAAGGGACCCTGCCTGGGTGCAGGGCACGAGTCAGCCCAGTGATCCAGCCAGAGCCCCACAGCCTTAGGAAACGTGGGCTCTGGACCTGGCCCCAGGTTGACTCCCCATGACACCATTCAGGGCTGCAAGGCCCTGATCAGGGGCTGGGCCTCGGTTTTCCCATCCGTGACCATAGGACCGGAGCACAGGTGCTGAGCGCAGAGGGTAGGGTGAGGGTCCGTGGACCTCCCGAGTGCAGTGCTTGGGGCCTGGCCACCTGGAGGCCACAGTGCAAGTGACGCTGCGGTTTGGTTGCACTCATGGGCTTTGTTTCTTTGCTGTGCCCTGTGCTGGGATTGTCATCCTGCCCTGGCAACTCCAGTCCAGGTCCCTTCGCTCTGCCTCCCCAGCCTCTCAGACGTCTGTCCTTTCCTCCATCTGCCGTCTGTCCTGCAACTGGGGCAACTGGCTATAGGGTCACCTACTGCCAGAACAAAGCTCCTTGCAAGCCGACCTCCGCTCTGCAGCTAGCAGTGGCCTCCTTGTGACCTGAGCCACTGACATGGTCCCACCAGCCACCACAGAACTCAGTGGCCCCTCTGTGCCTTGTTATAGAGTCCACAGCTTTGCCATGTGGCCAAGCCAGGCCTCTCTAGCCCTGCGTCTGGGTCCCATCAACTGCCCACTCTTGGCCCCTGCAGCCTTCCTGCGTGGGCCCTCCACGCTTCTGGGGCTTCCCATTTGACCTTCCCACACACTGCCCACCCAGCCCTGGAAGCCCTCGGGACAGCTCCCTGGGCCCAGAGCCCTTGGATTCCCCAAGCACACATTTGCTCCTTGCACAAATGTCCACTCCCTGGAGCACCACTGGGCTGCATTATTCCAGGTGCTGGGGCATCAGGGCGGCGGGTGGCCAGAAAGTCCAGCCTTGGGAGGTGTGAGATTCCCCCATGCTGCCCTGGCCCGGGCTGGGCCTATGTCTGTGAGAGCATGCTAGTGTTCTCAGGCTCCCGGGCCATGGCTCCATGCACTGTGCGAATTCGTGTTTGGATAGGAGGTGCATTTGGGCACTGTGCTTGCTGCCAGGGACAGAGGGAGGACATGGGATCTGGGGTGAGGGAGCCCCTGGAGTCATCTGAGGAGCATGGCGCATGTTGATGCTGATTGCCCCTTACTAGCAGTGTGGCTTCCAGCAAGCTGCTTGACCTCTCTGTTCCAGCTCTGGTCTGGAAAAGGAGTCAGCATGCTAACTGCTCTCGCAGCCGTCGGGTCACTGGATTCACGTGTGCGACGCGTTCAAAACCATGTCTACATGTCACAAGTGCTCTGTACAGAAGTGAATTCTCGCTGAACATGGAATAACAAAGCTCTGAGTGTAGACAGGCCTGGATTTAAGCCCAACCTCTCTGCTCACCAAGGAAGTCAGGGACACGGCTGAGCCTCAGTTTCCTCATTTGCCTACTGGTAATGATTATCTTTCTGTGGAAGACAGGTGAGGCCTCTTGGGGCAAGACCTGGACCCTTGGGGCTCATCAGCCAAGGGGAGTGGGTGCACCAGTCTCTGCCCGGACACCTCTGCTCCAGGAAGCTGCCCTGTGCTTCTGTCCTTGCTCCCAAACTCCCGTGAACACACCTCTGCACCTCTGAACGGCCTCAGCTGTAGATTCCAGTTCTAGCTGACTGGCCCGGTGGCACCAGACAGCCTGGCCTCGAGTCTTTGTAATGGGAGAGGGGGACAAGCTCAAACATGGAGACCCGGAAGATGACCTGGCAGCGGTAGACACCCCAAAACCCCTCTTCCTGTGTCCCCGTCTCCCTCTCCAGCCCCCAACTGGCCTGCCAGATTATGGAGGAGCTAATTCAACTCTGCAGCACCCCCAGGTGGCAGGTGATGGGGGACACAGCCCTCGAGGGCCTCGGGGTCCCCCCTCTGCTTCCCAGACCCCTTTTCTGGGCCCTCCCCTTGCCCACCATGGAAGTTTCCTCCTCTCCCTTGTAACTGAGTGCCCAACACTGGCCTCTCACCCCAGGTTCCCTCTCTGGGGATGCCTAAGGTCATGGTGCAGAGGGCTTTGGAGATGTCACATCTTCTCTGTGGTGCCGCCATGACTCAGAGTGGCCTTCGAGGGCTATAGACCCAGGACAGGGCCCCGAGCTGGGCTGGCCGCTGAGTAGGCTGAGGCAGCCTTCTGCTGCGTGTGCAGAGACTGGAGCCTGAGTGGTGTGAGTCGGCACCTGATCTGCCTCTGCCCACCCACCCATCCTCACAGACCACCAGCCCTGAGTGGTGCAGGGTGAGTGGAGTCCCTGAGGCGAGGGTGCAGGGGGCCAGACATACCTCTGTCACGATGGTGTCCCTGCTGGTATTGTAGACCCAGCCATCCAGGCAGGGCTCAGTGGCCACCTGGGTGGTGTTGGGCATGCTGGCGTTGGGTGTGTGCACCAAGCGGAGGCACTTCTCGGGCTTCCCGCTGGGGCCCAGGAGGGGCACCCAGGGCCCTGTGGAGGCGTTGGGGGGTGGGCGACAGTGGTGGGCAGGGGTGGTGGCCAAGAAGATCTGCAGCAGGTTGTGGTTGGCCATGCCAAGGATCGGGAGGCTGAGCAGGACTATGTGCAGGTACTGGAAGGGGCCCATGCTGCCCACGCGCTCCAAGAGGTCCGAGAAGGTCATGGCTCTGGGCAGGAGGAGCTGGAGCTGCAGGGAAGATCTGGCCGAGAAGAGGGGCATGTGTGCATGTGAAGATGTGGGCTCAGGGTGGTGTCCAAACTCACAGGTGGACACAGAGGCTGTGCCCAGCTGCACAGGGGTGTGCAGGAGGAGGTGTGTCTGCAGCTGTGTGGACACAAGGGCACAGCTCTGAGTATCCATGTGGACGTGGGCATGTATGTGCATGTGTGTGCATATGCTTAGCTAGGGCGGTCGTACCTGCCTGTGCATGGGATAGCAGGGCCCAGGAGCTGCCCAGGTGGTTGGGGACATCCCCGATGGCAGATGCCCTGGGGAGGGGACACAGCTGCCAGCTGGGGAGGTCCCTGGAGCCCAGAGGCTCTGGCTTCAGCTGTTCCCCTGGCCTGGTTCCCCGCATTGAGACATAGGGGAGCCCAAGCCAGTCTTGGGGCGTCTGGGGCTGGGCCAGCCATAGTGAGGAAGCAGGGCCTGGCCTGGGGGTGCCTGGGTGCAGGCTTGGGAACCCTGATCCCTTCTCACCTGGTGGCTGGTCTTCTCTGGTAGGATGGTGGAGCCCTCACTGGAGCCCGAGCTCTGTCCTAGGTAGGGTCTGGCAGCTGCTGGGTTGGATGGCTCGGCTCCAGTAAGCTGTGTTTAGGCCTCCCCAGGGGGACTTATATAAGGCATAAGCTGCTTCTCAGGCTAATGTTTGACTTTCTTTGCAGGATTAACATCCCGCCAGGGAGAGCGTTGTGGACCCAACAGGGCCAGCTCTGCAGAAAGGGCTGCCTCAGCACAGGCTGGGGGTGGGGAGAGGCTGAGGTGAGGGGCTGCTGACCTAGAGGGGCCTGGATTCGGGGTGCCATTCTGCCCCTCCCTGACTGGCACCTTGGGGTGGATGCCTGGGGCTTGTGGCCCAGACAGAGGGTATCTGGTGCTGTCCTCAGGGCTCTGACAGCACTGTGGTCAGGTTGTGCTAGTCTCAGGGGTGGCTGCTGGGGACCCATCCCACACCTTCTGGCTTTGATTTTTCTTTGGACATGATTTAAATTATATAACATGTCTCTTGAGCAAAATGCAGGAAGCACCGACAGGCAAAACCAAGGCAAACCAAACCAAAATAAATCAAACCAAATCCCAGTCTTACCCAGCGGGAAGAGTTCTCAGAGTTGGCAGGGACTTACATCTAGGCCCCCCGACATCACAAGTCAGGAAACCAAGAGGTTTAGCTGCTGGCCCAGGGCCCCAGGAGGCAGGGTGGGGTGGCGTCCGCCCTCGGGACCTGAACTCTCCCGGAAGCTTGCGGGAGTGTTCTGTAAGGACCCTCCTTGACAAGGCCAGCTAATGGTCCCTGCCGTCGTTGGGCACCCCTGCCTGCCTGTTTCTTACACCCTTAGGGCTCATGTCTGGGGGTGGCCCCACTGTCTTCCTGTGTGCCCTTCACTACAGTGCCCCCCAGTGCCCAGGTTCCCCTGCTTACCAGTAGGCCAGGGGTCACTGTTGTTCTTCAGTGGCCTGAGACAGAGTGAGATCCAGAGTCATCAAAGGACAATTAAATTACCCTCCGAGGTCGTGTTAGGAAGGTTTTCCACCTCAGGCCACAGGGAATTGGTGGGTTGCTGCCTGAGACCCCTGCTCTGGGTCTTTGCTCTCTTAGAGATTTTCTGGTTCCCAGTTTGCCTGCAGTGTCCATCTGTTCTGTCCCAGAGGAATGCTGTTCAAAGGCGCCGGTGAATTTCCTAGGCTGCTGGGGTCCAGCCAGAGTACACAGCCCCTACTGCCTCATGGGAATGGCTGCGCCCGGGTGTCCCCAGCCCCCAGTAGATGCCGCTAGGTTCCTGATACCTGGATCAAGGCCACTCTGATGCTCTTGTGTGATGTGGGGACAAATCACCTCCCCTGGGCCTTTCATTTCTCTTCATTAAGTTAAGTAGCTTTGAAAAAAAAAAGCCCCAGAAACCTTTGATCCAAATAGGGTATTGGGTTCAGAAGATAATATATAAAGCAGACACAGGGGAAGAGCTCTTGGTCATGAGAAAGAAGGTGGCCCTGGGGCTTGCTGTCCCTGCCTCAGCCTGTCCTCAGCTTGGCATCCCCAGCCCTAGGCAGCCCCCATCACTTCTTATGAGCTGTGATCTTCAGCCTGATGTGTTCAAATTGAGAAATCTATCTGAAAAAAAAGATTCTGCATGTAGGCAATCTTACATGCCAAATTCATTTTTAGGGTCGTATGTGGAAATAGATGTTTCTCTCTCTCTCTCTTCTTCCCCTCTTTCTTCCTTCTTTTCATCTTCCAGAATCTTAAGCTGAACTGGCTTCAGTTTCTCCTGTACTCTGCCAGGTTCTGGCTTTGAGCAGCATAAGTCCAAAAAATCCTCTAGTCCAATGTCCTCATCTTATGGATGAGAAAATGAGGTCCAAAGAGAAGGAACATGTGTCTGATTCCCAGCCTCCTTGGATCTTCCACACAGTAGACAGCTTCCTGAATCTTAAGTCTTCTGAGGCAGGGGAGGGGTTGAAGCAGGGGAATCTTATTCCTAGGATCAGTAGATGAGCAGGTGGCCTCACTGAACATTCACAGGGCCATCTAGCCTCCTACCGCTTATCCATCCACCCACCCATGCAACCATTTATCCATCTATTTACCATCTGTCCATCCATTCATCCATCATCAATTTATCCACCCATCATCCATCTGTCCATCACCCATCCATCCATCCATCCAATGTGTGCAATTGATTCGTATGTCTGAGGCCTCATGCTGGGAGCCATGCTGGGAGCCTGCTCTACCCTCTGATCTTCACACAGCAATCCAGAAACAATTGTAGCAGCAAGGAGACTGACCTTAGTGCTACAGGAGATGACTAGGTGTGAGGACTGGGATTGGAGTGGGTTATCTGCAGAAGAAGGTGGCACTGACACCAGCTTTTTTTTTGGCAGTGGGGAATAAACCCAGGTGTCCATGTCACTAGGCGAGTGCTCTGCCACTGAGCTACAACCTAAGTCCTTCAAAAATTTTATTTTGAGACAGAGTCTCTGTACATTGCCCAGGCTGGCCTTGCACTCAAGATTTGCCTGACTCAGCCTCCTGATAGGTGGGATTACAGACATGTACTCTCTGCCTTACAACTCCAGGCTCTGGAGGTGGGTGGATTGGAGGTGGGTGGAAAAGCATCAGCAGGCAGCGCTGGAAAGGTGTGCAAGTTTGGGGTGGGCTGGGAAGTGGGTGGGAAAATGATGGATCAGTGTGGGCAACACCTCTTTCCCTGGGGGTGTGGCTTTGGGCTCAGGCAGGGATCTCTCCCTGACAGCTCAGAGGAGCTGGTGCTCCCTGGGCTTTTCTGGCCCTGGGGTGGGAGTGGGAGGCTCCAGGGGCTTGGGAGGGGAGGCAGCAGGAGCCAACTGAGGCAGACTGGCTTGTACCGAGCTAGAGCTGCCCATGCAATATGAGTCTCTGGTCCCTGGTAAGGACTCCACCATGCCTGATAGCCACCAGCTGCCACTGCCCCTGCCTAGGGCTGAGGAGGAGCTATGGGCCTGTGATCCCCACCTAGATGCTCAGAGTGGCCCTGGGGGGATGGGGAGGGTTTGGTGGATCCTCCAGGTCAGGAGCAAACTGCTACTCGGTAACTGAGCCTGGCTTCCCAGCCTGGATTTCGTTGCTGACTGTTAGACCCCTGTCACACGGGGGCCCCTGGCAGACCTAGGTTCTAGGGCGACCCCTGCCCTTGCGCCTCCTTGTTCCTTCTGTGGGTCAGTGCTGACATTGCCTTTCTGCACCAAGGAGTCAGGGGAGGGCATGAATCTTGGCTCCATCACTTGCTGGCCGTCCTGTAATGCTCGGTTTCTCACTGTAAGATGGGAATGCAGGATTGTTGGGGTTTCAGGTAAAGGATATAACGCCAGAGCACAGAGCCAAGCTCATCGTGCTTAGTTCCAGGGTTGGCTGAAGGAGCAGGCTGAGCACCCCAAACAGGAGGTAGAGGAGGAGGAAGAGAAGGGAGAGGAGCGGGAGGAGGAGGGGGAGGCTGATGGAGCAGTGCCTTGGCTCTGGGGTCTGGACCCTCCAAGGCCTCGGGGTCTCTGGAATAACCTCAGCCAGTCCTGCTGGAGCCCATCACATTGCTGGGCCCCTGGCCCTCCACTGTCACCCCATGTGGGACAGGATGGGGACCCTCAGGTCCCTGCAGAGTGACTTGGGCCCTCACCGCAGGCCCCAGGAAGGGGCTGGGAAGGCCTGGCAGTTGCCCCTCCTGGTGTGTGCTGTGCCAGGCGTCTCTCTTCTCAGGACAATGCTGCTCTGGAGGGCTGGGGCCCAAGCATCTTTGCAGGACTTCCAGGCTCCCCCTGGAGGGGCATAGGATGACAGACAGATGGCACAGTCCCCATCCCCAGCATAGCTTGCAGCTCCTCAGATGTCTCAAACCTGAGTGGGACCTGGTGACTTTAGTGAGTGAGTGGCCAGGTGCCCCATGGGCTGGTGGCAGTAGAGCTGCAGAGCCAGCCTGGCCTGAGGGAAGCAGTGGCACCCAGCACTAGCTGTTGTTGCCATGGGGACATGCAGGCTCCGATGCCAGATCCTCAGAGATTTTAAAAATAGCTGGAAATCTGGACTTTTGTGTGAACATTTTCCAATTGTGTGGGCGACCCTCCTCCCACCTTCTGGGATCCCTTTGTCTCTCTGCTTCCCCAGTGCAGAGGGAGGAGGGTGCTGGGTCTGCCCTCCTCCCTGCTGGCCTCCAGGGCTTGCCCATCCTGCAGGCACCCGATGCCAGCCAGGCTATGCCTTGTGCAGAAATGGGTGCTGGAGATGGGCGCACCAGGGAGACACAGTGTCACTTCGGGGGTTTGCAGACCCACAGGAGACAGCAGGGGAACAGGAACCAGGGAGCCCATGCTTGGCGTCTGCACCCTGGGGCACCGTTCCACGTGCTCCCTTGTCTTCCAGGGCTCGAGTCAGAGTTGTGTGGTTTCCTCTTGAGATGCCATGCATGGTGAGGGGATAGATTTGGTTCCATGCCACGCTTTCCCTGCCTGGTTTCCAAGGCCAGTTCCTCCTTGGCTTCTCTTTGTGTCACCTCCTTCGAGAAGCTTTCCAAGACCATGCTATCGAGGGCCCTCAGAAGTGCCCCTGGCTCCAGGAAGCCTGCTCAAAGTTTTCGTGTGCTGGAGGCTGACTCTTGCTGGCCAGGAGGTGAGGAGGCGGGGCCTGCTCCAGTTGCTGTTTGGGGTTCAGTGGTTTCATATCTAGCAAGATGGTCCCCAGTGACAGACCTCAAAATCAGAGGAGGTCAGTGCAACGAGGGTGCCAAAGACCCTGGTGTCCTCTCCTGCACAGGTATCTGGGACCCCTGTGGGGAGTGTTCAGGTCGCACTGCTCTCTGCTGTCCTCTCGGGCCCTGCAAGGCCCACTGTTCCTCAGGAAACAGCCGCAGCAGAGGGCCTTGCATGCAGCCTCAAGTTTTCTCTCCAGCAACCAGGCACCATGGTAACAGCTGCACTCTCATGGCGCTGCATGGAAGGTGGACGTGTTGGGATGCCGAGCCCAACCTGTCTGAGGATGGGGTCCAGGCTGGAGCTTGAGCCCGGGTGACGATGTCTCCCCCAACCAGGGTCCTGCCTGCCTTGTCCCCTGGTCAGCCTTGTCCCTGACTTGGCTTTGGTCTCCCTTGGGCCCAGAAGAGCAGACAAATGGGGACAGCTTAGCTTCAGAGTGGGCGGCATGTGGAGGAGCAGCCGCTTCTGCACAGCTCCCCCTGGGCTTATTTCCCTCCTGAAGGAGGGCACCCTGGAGGATACACAGCAGTGGCAGGTCGCCTGCGAAGGAGGCACAGTGGGCCCTGCATGGGGGGCCAGGAGTGAGGAGTGGTGGATGGTGAAGGCGCTGCCAAGCTGACCCAGCTGTGTGGCCCAGCAGGTCTGGGCGGGGCGGGTCAGTGGGCCTACAGTGGATGCAGAACCCCGTATGACACGGGGTGAGTACCGGGGTCCCACCCAGGACTGCAAAGCCATCCCTGTCTCGTCAGCACCAGGAATGAGGTGCAGAGGTAAACGCTGTCAGGAGCTGCGGGCCCAGGTGTCCTCAGGTACCTCGGCGGGGGAGGCACCAGGGCCGGGAGCTGCTGGGGCTGAGTCCTGAGCCTGCCGCCCGCCTTGACTGAGTTCTTTCCTGGGTTCTGGGGCTGGACTCTGGCCTCACACGTGCTTGGCAAAGGGTCAGCCTGAGAGCTGCACGCCCGCCTGGGTCACACCAGCCTCTGAACCTTGCTGTCCCTGCCTGCAGGAGATGGATGGTGCCACCTGTTCTGCGTGCCACGAGGGTTGATGCAGCTCCCTGTGGCTCCAACCCCTGGATGAGCTCCTCAGGGCAGGACCCAGGCTGCTTTCCCGGACCCCAGAGCCTGGTACTGCGTGGGCTCAGAACCAATGCTGTCAGATGAATGAGCAAGATGACTGTGACGGGGATAAATGTCAGCTCCTGGATGCAGATCCTGGGCCCAGCTGCCAAGAGGCAGTGGGCGATGGCAGCACCAGCCTCCGGAGGGGAGCTGAGTTGGGGCAGCCGGTGAGTTTGGGGTGCCAAGGCCTAGAGAAGTTGGGGCACTGAGCCAAGCAGGAGCCCCAGAGTCACAGTGGCTTTCAGGGCTCACTGGCTATGGAACCTGCTTCCTCATCCATAAAATGTGCAAACCACAGGGGGGAGGTCGTGGGGTGCTGGAGATGGTCCCCAGCTCTTTTTCCTGCCGGTTCTCTCTGCCCCTCTTGGGCTGTTTTGCCCCAGGGACAGCTAGCAGCAAGGCAGTGGGTGGCAGGTGGCATCTGGGCCAGGCTTGTGGCCTGGCCTGGGACTGTAGGGTGGCTCCCCCTCCCTGCTCTGCTACACCACCCTCAGCAGACCTGCTCTATCCCTGTCCTGCTGTCTCCTGTCCCTGTCCCATCTCTGCCAAGGTCCCTGCCCTTGCACAGCGCCCTTTGGTGGCTGTGGGGTGCTGTGCTGGATTTTGTGGGGTCTCAGATATTCTTGTAAAATCTTGAGCTTTCATCAACACAGGGGAGAAACCCGCCCTGTGGTACCTGTCGATAGGAGGATGTGTGACACGCAGTGCCACGCTTGAAGGATCTAAAAGCAGGTGCAGTGCCTCTGAACAGGGGGCATCCAGAGGGGACTCCAGGGCAAGGTCGTGACAGGGTCGCCTTGGCTGGGGACATTGCTGCTGCTCCAGTATCGAGTCTCTGCTGGAGGGGATAGCGAGGTCCAGAAGTGGGTGGCGGTGGTCGTGGCACTGCGGATGCACTCCGCACCACTGAGCTGTGTACTTAGACTCAGCGAAACGGCATACTATGTGCTAAGTACTACCCCGAAAAGCACCAAGAAAAATGCTAGTCTTGCCACTTAAAGGCAAATGACCTTCTTCAGGGTACTTATTCCCTGGGCTTCAGTCTTTTCCTCTGTGGAGCAGGGGCAACAATGCACGCCCACCTCGCTGCCACCCCCATCCACACCACTGTCCTCACATGGCCTCCTCCATGGTCTCCCGCCGCTCTGTGCCTCCCTGCTGTCTACCTCAGCTGAGCAGTGAGAGGATCAAGCTGCTCTCCCATGGACACCGTCCCCAAACTGTCCTTTGGTTGGCAGGTCTGGCCCTACCCCCTGTCCTTTCCATGACTTTGGCCGCCCCTAACCCCACCTTGCTGTCACCCCTCGTTCTTTCTGCCTCCAGCCTTGACTGGCAGGTCACTGACCTTTGAAGCGTTCTCTGGTCTCCCCTGCCATCAGCATCTGGAGCTCAAATGTCAGCTGCTGTTCCTGAGATGCCATTCCTCCCATCTAGCAGGTGTCCCCTAACCTCCCAGGCTTACCACTGCTGTCCTCTTTGATTTCCTTCATAGCACCTGGCCTTCTCAGAAATGATCTTATCTTTATGAAACTGGGTCATTCACCTGGCTGGATTTGTAGGGTGCGAGGCAGGAAATAGTTATATTCCTCCTACCACCATCTTTATACTTTCTCTGTGCTTCTCTCTTTCTCCTCTTAAAAATGTTCCCGCTTGTGTAGCTCTGCCAATCTCGTCCAGGTATCAGAGCCATTTCAGGCATGAAGAATTCCTGTTCTTTAGAAGACATCCATTGACGAATTCAAATGCCACATGTCATGTCACCCTTCAATTGCTTCAGGTATTTCAGTGAAATCCTATAGAATTGAGCAATGACCTCAGTATCTACCACTCAGTATCCTTGTTTTTAACCAATCTCACATCAAAAAAATTTTAAAGACTATGTCTGTACTGAACTTGTACAGACTTTCCCATTATTTCCTAAACAATACAGTAGAAAAACTATCTATGTCCATTCACAATAGCTGAAAAAGTGCATAGTGCTCAACCTAACCAAGGAGGTAAAGTTCTACAATGAAAACTTCTGAGCACTGAAGAAATTGAACAGCTGCTGGAAGATGGAAAGAGCTTCCATGTTCATGGATGGATGAGCAGGATGAACGGTGTCAAAATGGCCACGTTGCCAAAGGAGACCTGCAGATTCAGTGTGATCTCCAACGACTCGAGAACTTGAGAAAACAACCCTAAAATTCACATGCAAGCACAGAGGCCCAGAACAGCCAGCGCAGAGATCAGCATTGTCAGCGGCATCACAGTAGCTGGCTTCAAACTACACTACACAGCACAGTTACAGGAACAGCATGGTGATGGCACAAAAACAGACATGGGGATCAAGGGGGCAGAGGAGAGGACACAGAAACAGACCCACAGAATGGCGGCCCCTGATTCTGCACAAGGGTCCCACAAATACATTGGAGAAAACACAGACTCTGGTGGTTCTGGCTTCTCCCTTTCTCCCTCTCCGTGCTCCCTTCCTTTCCTTCTTTCTTTCTTGTGCTACTGGGGCTCAAACCTAGGGGCCCTCTACCATTGAAATGCATCCTTAATCTTTTTTTATTTTTTGTTTTTGAGACAGCGTCTCACTAAGTTGCGCAGGTGAGATTTGAACATGAGATCCTCCTGCCTCAGCCTCCCTCAGCACCAGGATGACAGACCTGTGCCACCAGGCCCAGCTTACTCGTTGATCTGTCACTCTGGTCTCTGTCTTGTCGTCTTCTGTCCTGCTGGTCCACCTAGATGACCGCCATGAGCCCCTCCTCAATTGCCTCAGTCAACTGCATCTTTATTACACAAGGTGATTTGCACAGCTGGTAGAATCCGCCCTCAGCTGCAGTCCTCTGAGTTTCTGTGTCCTTTGAGGAGAATCCAAAACACACTGTCCCGATCCCTCCACATACCCAGAATCCTGTGTGACAGTGATGAACTGATTTGGACTGTGCCATAAGCACCCTACACTCAGCAGCTTGAAACAGAACAATTTTGCTGGTGCACAATTTCTGTGGGTTAGGATTCAGGCCCTGGGAGAGAGAAGGAAGGGAGGGAGGGAGGGAGGAAAGGAGAGAGGGAGAGATGAGAGAGAAACAGAGATACAGATAGAGAGAGAGGCAACAGAGACCACTACGTTGGCAATCACTGCCTGACCCCTTGTTGTCCGGCTGCGAGACTCAAGGAGCAAGCGCAGCCCCTGGGCAGAGGAGGGTGGCAGAAGAGTCCAGTGGTGGGTTCTGGGACCCCTGAGGCACCTTTAGGACATGGATGCAATCTCTAACATCCAATAAACACCAGGCACAGAATGAATCAAATTACCTTTATGGTTAGTAGTGGATTTGTTTCCTAATTCATGGTAATAAATCCAAGCATCTTAAAACCAGCATAGTACTCCTGAGTCATCATTTAAATGGACGCCAAACGCCCGAGCAGGTTGCAGGTTGGGCTATGTGGTCCCCACCTCCCCAGTGCAGAAGGCACAGAGCAGTGAGCTGAGCTCTGAGGCACACGCAGTGCGGAGCCCAGGGTGCTCCATCCTCGAGGGGCCCTTTGCTCGGCCATGCTGCTTCCGGAGGGGAGGGCTGGTTTTGTGAGGCTTCTCTGCCTCAGGGTGGACAGAGCTGGAACTCACCCCTCAGGGCTCCTGTATGGGGAGCCTGGTCCCCAGTGGCAGTGCTGGCGAGGCTCGGAGCCCTGAAGAGTGGGGCTGGTGGGGCACCCTCAGGCCGCAGGGCACTGCCGGACACCATGGCACCCTGAGCTGCTGTCACCTGCCATGGCCTTCTCTCCACAGCCAAGTGAGTGCCAGCACCATGACCCTTGGCGTCCAGAGCGGCGCTAAGGAAACCCCTCTTCCTCCTAAGGAGGGAATTTCACTACAGTGCACTGAGCTGCCTACTGCAGTCCTCAGCTTCCCCCAGTTCATTCCCCCTTTCTTTTCTTTCTTTCTTTTTTTTTTTTTGGTACTGGGGATCGAACTTGGGACCTTGCGCTTGCCTTGTGCTGAGCTAAATCCCCAGCCCTCATTCTCCATTTCTGAGGGTTGCTGCAGCACAGCACCCCAAACCATGTGGCTTTGTTCCGACACATGAACCCCAGCATGTGACTCCGGATGAAACTCCACTGCGCTTTCCCTCTGCTACGCTGCTGTTCGGGCTGGGGTGGGGGAGACGGCAGAGGCTCAGGCTGCTCCGGTGGGCGATCACGGCCAGAATTGCTTTTGAGGATGAAAATTGTCTTGCTTTACACATTTCCCCTCAAGCAGCTGACACCTTTTCTGGTGATGTCCAGAAAACACAGACCCCATATTTCTTCAGTAGACAGAGAGTGAAAATCTCATTAGACTTAAGGGCCAAGGACACAGGCAGAGATGACAATGTGTCCAATGCGACCCATCAGCTGAGGAAGCGCAGCACCCAGACTCCAGCCAGTGCTCCGGTCCTTGCAGATGAGGCTTCCAGATGGCTCTGCTAAATATAATAAGATCCTAATCAGGCAACAGACATTTCTAATACTGTGAACACGCCGGTTCAGCACCACCATAATGACAGGACACCAGCAGAAGAAGATGCTGAAAGAATGCCACCTGGCAGGCCCAAAAACCTACTTGATGTGACCAAGCTGAATAATGAACAAAGAAGGAAGTGAAGTCCAATGACCAATGGCTGCGGTCTGAATTGCCTTGGAAGTCCCTGCTTTGGAATTAGAATTCATTCCATTCAGAGCTCGGATTGCTGAACAGCTGCTGCTTTAAAGATCCTTCCCCATGGGTTTCTGCCACCTGAGCGAAGCCTGCGTTCCCCTCCCCTGCAGTGGTGTAGCCACCTGGCCCTTGCAGCAGTGCTTCCTGGACTTGTGAGTTCTAATCACATCCCAGTGTCCCTCCTTCGCGCCTTTTGACCTTACTCAAGAAGGGTGGGGCCTTGCATCTTCCTCTGTTATCTGTCGCCTGTGCCATTTGATGCAGTGTGCTCTCCAGGCCACCCTAGGGCATGGCCCTCACTATCAGGGTCCGAATGGATTCCCTCCTGCCTGGTTCCCCCTCTCCCAACAGAGGAGGTGCAAACAGGGAGCGGGCTTTGGGTCCCAGAGGTGCAGCACCGTGCTCTACTGCCCTCTGCTGGAAGGCCTGGCTCCACCGTCCTGAACAAGTGCATTGGCAAGAAGAGGGCCTTGAGTGAAAAGGGCCACCGGGGATCGAGGTGAGGAGACCACATAGACTGGCCAAAGGGGCTTTATGGAGCTTAGAGGAGAAGAAGCCGAAACAGTTCCTCCACTGCCTGGCCCTGGACTCTTGGATCATCTTTAGTGAAAGGAACTGATAGCCGATGTCAGAACTGAGGACAGAATAGCCACGGGTCCTTGTCTGTACTCCAGAATGTGCTGCTTATGTTGTGAACACACTCCCTGTGCACCCTCAGGGCACCAGGCAGGGCTCAGTCGAACCAGGTCCCTGCTCTCCTCAGGGATGCACGTTCTGATGGGGGGAAGCGGCAAGGTCAGGAGGAGGATGAGGCAGCAATAAGTAAGAAATAAACCCACACAATAGTGCTTGCAGATGGCCTGAGGCTAGGCTGTGTAGAGCTTTGAACACCAGGGGAAGCGACTGGAGGGTGCTGCTCTGTTTTGTTTAATCATGAAACAATATCTCTTACTGTGTGGAGAGTTTTAAGTGCTTTTCCCCAGTCTCTCCATACACAGGCAAACGCAGTGTGCTGGCTAACATCCCGGGCCTTGCAAACTTGGTCACTGCCTACAGGAGGGAAAGTTCCCCTCAGATGAGCTCAACAGGGGCCAGTCCCTCCACTGATCCCCGGGCACGAGGCTGCATGTGGTAAGAAGTCTGCCTCCACCTGCACCTGCACCTGCACCTGCACCCTGTCCAACTCCACGCAGCACCTCTTCCTCAGGCCCAGGTCCCCACACATTTTTTTCTCCACGCTGTTTGTGTGGCCCACAGGGCTGGTTCCCTGGTGGATCTCTGCTCTGCCTGACTCATCAGCGATGGGTACTCAGTCCGACTCTGTTCTTAGCCTGTGCTTTCCAGGTTTTTTGGTCCACACGCTTCTCTACACTCACAAGTGAAACAAATGCACATTGATTTCTTATAGACAGACATATGCTTACTAGAAGAAATACAAACTCAAACATGTATTATTTTACTTGTTAAATCAACAAAAATGAATCCTTCACATTTTTGAGTATTCTAACTCCTTTTTCTGCTCATTTTGTATGAATTTTTCTCTTCCTTTTTTTTGGTACCAGGGATTGAACTCGGGAACTTGTGCTTGCAAGGCAGGCAGTGGAACCACTGAGCTAAATCCCTGGCCCTGAACTTTTCTCTTTTGAATGTTATGAATTCTTTGAATTTCACACACTCAACTTTTTTCGTGCAGCCATCCTTTCCCTTTATTGTTTCAGTTTCCTCCCTTCTTAGGCTTCTCCTTGAAACTAAAATATTTCAACACTGTTAAAGGAAACTCCTTTAAAACAGTATCTTGATCCCTGAAGCATTGCCCTATTTTTGCCAGCATCATTTCTTTTCTGGCTTTCTGGCTTGGATCTTTTCTGTTTCCAAACTTAATGTAAACTTCCTCCAGTAAGTACTGATTTCTTTTTGCGGAAAACAGAATCTTGTTTGCACTCTGGGATTCAAGGGTGATGTGAACGTCTGTGGGGGCGTAAGTGCTGCTGCTGGGCTCCTCTCGGTGACCAAGCTGGAAAAGGTATTTCATTTTTAAGGGTAGGAACTCAGTGGTTATCTTTTGTGTTATACTCACAAAGAAGCTGATTTTCATGATACTAGAAGGCTTCTTCAACTTTCCAAACTTTCCTCTACTTCTGTTCTTAATCCTTCATATTAAAGTATTGTCTTGAAGTTGCCTGAAGTTTCCTCCACTCTGATGTAATAGTAGAGTAGGCTCTGCTCTTGGTTATTTCCTTTAGAAATGCTCAATTAAAAGTATTCCAGGTCCTTCTTGCCTCGAACAAATAATTGGACAAGACAAGCCAAAAACGGTGCCAAAAGTTTGTTTGAAAGGTGAAGGATGCAGGGGTAAGGGAAGAACTAGCTCTGTAGAATGAATTTGGGCCAAACAAAGAAAGGAAAGAATAGAAGCAAAAATAAAAATGTACTCCGTGTCCAGAAGACACAGGGTAGACTACTGTGCGGAGACACCACAGTGGACCTCTTCAGGCATCTGATCTCTTTCATGCCATCCACATCTCACAGGAGCCCATGAGAAAGAAGTTCCACACATGGGGCCCTGGGCATTATTTGGTGCTGTTCTGGGATCTTATAACTGACAGGTCTCACTTGTGTCCCCAGCCAGCTTTGCCGTGCCCCACCTCCTACATCAGTTCTCCTTGGCTTTGCCTTACATTTGGTTAACGCTAACATAATTGGTTTAAAATTCTACTTTGTAATTGAGAAGTGTATTTGTGTCGTATTGGTAGGTATAACCACACCTTTGGGAAGAGATGCACACAGACCACATGGATTCTAGAATGAACCATCTGCTTTTTGGCCACTTTGCCTTCATTCAGGCTTCCGGACTCTTTCCCCTCATTTCCTTCTGGAAGTCACTGCTTCCCTCTCTTGGTCCATGTGCTCCTTATGTTCTAGTGCCATGATTGGCTTAGAGATCCAGATCTTCACATTTCTCCAGCTACAATCTTTGGATCATTGGTGGGCACTCAGTGAACCTGATTAGGAACCAGAGACTGTTCATCTCCAGAAGATGCTTCCAGATACTATAGTTGTGTATATGACTACTGTTGAGGATGGTGCCAACAGCGTGGGAACAAAGCCAAGAAATTGGAGAAGCTGAGTCTTACATCACCAACTTCCTAGAGCCCCACGTAGGAAAACCTGGAGTTCTGTGTCCTGTTGTCTGGTTTGCATTTTGTGACTGAGGTGGCCTCATGAAGTGAATTAGGTGGTTTCTCAAATTTTTCATGGGAACTACATCTTGGCCTGGTATCTATTCAGAGAAATATAGTTTAAAAAATTATATCTTTAAGGACTAATGACATTATAAAATTAATATGGGCTTATAACACATAAAATAATAAGAACGCTTAAATATAGTTATTTTTGAAGTCAATCAAATTTTTATTATTTTTTTCTTACAGTTTTGATCTACTTAGGTTTTCTACCTTTTATGCCTATTTGGATAATTTATATTTTTCTCTATATCTGTCTTCTTCATATAAGTTTAAGGTGTATAAATTGTATGCCATATCCTTTTTCAATTTTTAACATCTCTTATTTATTTAGGATTGGATATTCTATATATC